AAAAAAAAAAAAATAAAAAAAAAAATAAAAAAATAAAAAAAAATAAAAAAAAAAATAATAATAATAATATATTTTCGAAAAAAAAAACATGGACTGACTTTGGATGTAGAAATGGATTCATTAATCATTGGTAAGTATGGTAAAATTGTCGTTTACCCCAGGAAAATTCATTTTTTGGCCAAAATGAACAGTTGTTATCCCTTTAAAACTAATGCCCCCTTGTGCTACAGAGTGGTATCCACGTTATAATACATGCATTATTTAAGTGGGTCTGTTTTCTGGTTCTGATGCTATGTGAGTGCTATGCGAGTGCGAGGGGGGTTTAAAGTTATATTAAGGCAACAAGGGAAACAAGAAGAAAAAGATACAACGATAAATTTATAACTCAGTATGTAAAGGCGGGCTACAAACATCCACGACATTTACTTTTTCTAGAGACAACCACAACAATCATCGAATTCCTACAGGTATTTATAAATTGCTAGTATGGATGTAGTTTCCTTTGAACATAAAGTGTTGATGTAGCCAATCCATCAGCGGATGTTTTTTTCATCGACGTGTGACACGGGACAATATCTTCGGTTCAATTTGCAAACGTATCATGAAAGCTCCACTGGCTATGTGAAATGGCTCACGACAAAGATATCACTCATTTGTGAGATCCATATTGGCGATATTAAATAAAACCTGAGACAGAAATACACGAGGAAACAATTTGATAAATAATATCACTTGACGATGTAATGGAATATCTATTGATTTTGATGTCTCACCTGAGAGGGAATGGCTGGCTTGATAAAATGCTCGAATAATAAAAATGTTATCAAAAATACATGAAGACACATTTTGAAATTGATTATCGGCACTGAAAGTGCGGAAAATGTTGCGATGATGTAGAAATGGAAATTTGATTACGTTCGATTCCATGCGTCATACACGTTGAAAACACCCAGTTATACATATCTTTAACTGTCCATCAATTAAGTAACTGATGAATGCAATTAGCAATAGCTCTCTTTTTAAATATTCAAGCATCAACTGAACTTTTCTTCTGAGATTTTCTACACTCACCCCACTCTTATCAGATCACCATCCGAGACAACAACGGGGCATTTTCTTGATTTGTCTGCAATCTGCAGCTGCTGGATAACGAGGTGTGTGACTATAGCATGGTGGTTCTAAGGCTGCTTTTTCTCGGAGTTACTGTCATATATTTGGGTAAGTTTTGCAGAGGCACTAGACAAAGGCACTAGACAATAGCAGTGTTTTATAATTGATTTTTAATAGAGCTGAAAAATATGTATTTTGGACATTATTCATCCGTGTGGTTAGATGATTGTTTCTGAAAGTAAAATTGTTCTGTAATGTCCTTTCAATCCTATTAAGGATGAAAAGGATATGTAATATTCATTGTTGTATTTAATTCATACTTGCACGTAATAATAGTCATAATAATAATAATAATAATTGATGACATTGGTGTCTTTCAGATAGGACACTATGCAGAAGTTGCACGCAGAATTTGGCAAAAGGCAAACCCGCCTACCAAAGTTCCACCTACCAGACATGCGATGCCAGCCTCGCTGTAGACGGTAACTATGACGACGACAAGACCCATGGGAGTTGTACCCATACTAATGCTGGTCAGGGGCAATGGTGGCTGGTGGACTTAGAACCCACGGCGAGGGTGGCCGGTGTAATCATAACAAACCGTGGGGACGGATATAGTACGTTGATTCCGTATATTATATAAATTCAATGAGTTTATCGTACATGTAAACCACATTTCTTGTTGCTGTTAGTGTAAAACAGATAGGTATATGATCTACTTGAGATAATGCATGTGAAAGGGGACGACAAAACGTGTATTTACATGTTACTATTTCCTTCAATGATAACAAATATTTTATCCATTGCTGCATCTACCTACCACGTACTAGCACGGTCTTAATAAATGATCTCTTGTTAAATTTGCCGTTACATATCACATCAAAGTATGATAAAAGTGCATTGTCAAATTTATAAAACAATTTGCTACTTTTCCATTTTCAGCCTACCGTCTGAATAATTTCGAAGTGAGAGTTGGAACCACTTACGAGGATAGTTCATCATTCAGCCAGTACAAACTCTGCGCCAGTTACCCGGGGGTGGCACCTGTGGGGAACACGACTCTGTCCTGTGGGTCACCACTGAGAGGACGATATGTCTTGATCATTAAAGTTGGCAGTGACAACCATCAATTGCAGCTATGTGAAGTGGAGGTTCATGGTGAGTTGATGGAATTTCATTGTGTCTACATATGTACATGTATATTAATATGAGTTTTCATGTGCCTAAAATTACATGTATCTATAGTAACCTTACACATTTTGTTATTAATTCAACGTTGAAATAACTGGTGAGTCACCTACTGACACGTCCATTTTTATGGGTTTTGTAGGTCCCATATTTTACTTATGTTTTTGTATAGGTATTTCAAGTGCAACCACCTTCCAGAGGGTAGCTGCAGATGCTCGTGCAAGCCTTGTGCCCATATCCACGCTGAATGTCCGCAGCCTCACCGAATGCAGCATCTTCTGTATGCAACACTGGAAGTGTGCGGCCATAAACGTTCTCTGTGCCGGAAATGACCAATGTGTCTGTGAACTTCTACCCAGTACTGCCCAGTCCAGCGACTTGCAGGCAGACACTGGTTCTGAATATTATGAGGACATCTGCTTGGGACAAGTGTAGGACGAGACTACTAAATGTGGCTAAATCACTTTCAGAAATACCCCAGGGAAGCTGCATATATATCATTAGATGATATGCCACGCTGGGGTAGTGTTGTAAAAACTGACCATTCACATTGTATTAGAAATGTGCAGGTGGTGATCGCTCCCAAGACTGACCTAAACTAGTGTGAAGACGACAAGGTCTACAGAGGGATCATTTTAATTTATCTTAAAAATAAAAAATTAAAAAAAAAACTTCAATAGCCATTTTGGCTGCTTCGTAAATTGGCACGAGAAAGCGATCAGTTTCCTATGTATGTAACTCCGTAGCTAAGTAATACATTATCGTGAAGACGCGTGCTTGGCGACTAGGGTGGTAATCATAGCCTGGCGCCTGCTTTGGTTAAACATTTTTTAGTTTTAATAGCCCCTTAATTTCGATGTTGCAATTAACGAAACTTTTGTTTGGCATCTTTACTGATAATTTGGAAGTTCACTTTTCAAAATATTGCACTTAATTGAAGGATGTATAGGTGTGATTCAATATGCGTTATAACAGCGTTGTTACATGTATCAGTTTAGGTGCAATAAATCTGTTTGAAAGCGATAACATAGTTTTTCATCCCACAAACGGTTCTGTTATATCATGAGCTCTAGTTAGCAAATTCACCCTGACCTATTTTTTAACGCTACAGCAGTATCTCATGCTTTGGGTGATACCCTCAAAATACAAAAATTAAATAAAAAAATTATATACGATGAACAGGAATCAGTTTAATCAGTTATATCTTTTTCACGTGGCAGCGGGTGTTTTATTGATTGATTACTCAGCTAAGAGAGACAGTAGCGTGAATGATGAAAGTGACCATGTTACGTCATAAGGTTCGATTCCATGCGACGCAAAAAAAAAAAAAAAAAAAAAAAATTAATCTAACATTTTACTCTGTTTCTCTTCAGTCACTCCACTCTCAGCAAAATCACCCAGGGCATGAACGGAATATTGTGTTGATTTCTACCATCGGTAGTCCGGTGGCTTAAGGAAAAAATCGTGACACGGCGGATAAAAGCACCAAATTTTGCATGTGGGTACCTTTTGACATTCTAAATCAAATTAGAGCCGTAGCCCACGGAAAAAATTTACCGTTTGGCCAAAAAATCCAAAATGGCCGCCAATTTATTGAATTCTTTAGAAATATGTACATACCTATGTTGATTTTTATCAAATAAATTATTTTCTCAGAGTTTTCCACACCCTTATTACCCATTTTATTCATATATGTCAGATAGCAAACAAGTTCCCTTGGACTTTTTGAAAAAATCCAAGATGGCTGTCATTTGCCATAGAAACAGCCATAGGAATACTAGTGCACAACTATTACCAGCTAGAACGATACGTTGTCCACTATCAAATTAAGTCTGTTTCTCAGATCTTTGTTACCCACATAATATGTTTGTGGTGAGTAACTACGAAGTGTTCTTGGGCATTTTGGAAAATCCAAGATGGCTGCCATGTGCCACAGGAATTCTAGTATACGGGGAATTCAACTAATGGCAACTGGAAAGATTAGTTTTTCACTATCAAATTAAGCTG